TTAAACTGAGGATCAGCCAACTCGGTATCTCGCGGTATATTTAAACTAGAACTGTCAAAAGAAACTATAGGCAGCTTATCAGTTATGCGAGGAATAACCAGACAATTAATATCCATGGAAAACTCTCTAACATTTGAGTTAATGGATATGTCAACTTTACTGGTGATACTCGTGAGTGTCTGTCCCACACCCCTGATAGAATGATTTATTTTACTCACTTTCAAGTTTAAGCGTTTACAGAATTTTTCTGAAACGAAATTACTCTGACTTCCCGAGTCCAGGAGCGCTCTACCGATACAAAAATTCCCTTTTGCATCCTTCACCTGCACTAATGCTGTAGATAACAAAATCTGCGAATTTTCTGCCCGCACATTAGCTGATGTAAACCCTTCTGTAGGCGACGGCAACACCGCATGTGTCTGCGACGACTTCGAAGCCGGCGGCGGCGTTGTGTCGTTCGGCGTTGAAGCGTTGACTAAGCGTTCCGACGGTGTCCGATGGAGATTTGGCTCAGCAGCGGTAGCTTCTCGCCGCGGAAGGTGAAGTAATACATTATGTGGCGCTTTACAATTTTTGCAGTTACTCAATCTGCACTGCAATGTCAGATGGTTATCTCTCAAGCAATTCAGGCACAACTTTAGTTTTCTAGCAGCTGCAATCCTATCACTTACCTGCAGTGATAAAAAGGATATACACTTAAATATCGAATGAGAACCCTTACAATAAAAGCACTCAATCGCAGTTTCTGTGGCTGCAAAACTGTGACTCGTATGCGGTTTTCTACTACTTGTGTGGGGTAAGACTTCCCTCTATCGAAGTGTTTAGCATCTGACTTTACTAACTCCAATTTTTCTAAAACTTCACACTTTTTCTTTAAAAATACATGCAAATCAGACATTGTAGGAAGATCCCCATTATACTTAAAATTCTCCCAGTCTCTTCTGGTAACCGAGTCCAACTTGGTACTCATGATGTATATAATAAGGCTATCCCACTCATCTGTCTTTTCTCCCAGACTTTTCAATGATCTGAGATGTTTCATGAAATTATCATAAAGATTTCTTAAATCCGCGTGATTTTCCTTATTCACGGGTGTATGTTCTATGATCGCCTTGATATGATTGAAAACAATCAATCTTTTATTCTCATACCTTTCTATTAAAAATTGCCAAGCACTTCGATAATTATCTGCTGAAACTTCAATAAACTTAATCGTATCCAAAACGTCTTTCTCTAAACTGGTTTTTAAATAATAAAACTTTTGGATATCTGATAGCTGCTCATTACAATCTACCAAAGATAAAAAGGAGTCCTTGAACTCTAACCAATTATGGTAACGACCGTCAAAGGTAGGTATTTTAATAGGTGGCAACTTTACTAAAGTACTATTATTCACTACATTAACTGGATTAGTTGTAACCCTAACAACTGACGAACTACTGTTACTGTTAACTGAGCCAGTGGTAGACTTGACAACCGATGCACCATTTGGCACATTACTTTTGACTGAACCGATGGTGGACTTAACTCCTGATGCACCACCGTTTGATGCATTACTTGTTGCATCAATGGAATACTCGAACTTCTTAATAAACGCCTTCATATGGCCAACCAACTTAAAATACTTGTCATCAAACTGTTCTCTTTCAATATCATCATCTGACGAAACTTCCAACTCCTCAATTTTACTTTGAACTTCATTAAATTCTTCCCATGTAGGTTCTACTTTAGACAATCTACTAGAAACTTCCTGTACTATATTATCATCTACCTCATTCTTATCTAATGAGTCAAAAAACCTTATTGAGCGTGTCAACTGGCCTTTCAACGTCTTTCGACGATTTTTTAGTGAAGCAATCTCACTCATTTTTACTAACTGTACTGTACTATCGAATTCAACTGAATCGCGTATAACTGACGCTGACTTTTTACTAAACTTGCGTATATAACTGACGCTAACTTACTGTAACTGATCAACTTTGCGTATATAACTGACGCTAACTGTAATTTCCAAGATCGCGTATATAACTGACGCAAATCTAAGGAAAGGTTTACAGGTGGTGGAATAGTCTTCCGTCCCCTGACCTATTACTGTTGCTACGTGGATCCGTGGATGCTACCGTCATCAAAATGGCGGCTACCTCATGCGCCGAAAAGAAGATCCGCTGGTATCCGTGCTCGATTAGGACCAAAAATGTTGTAAAGGGTTTACCTCGGATCTGCAATTGATGCCGGATGGCGTCCCTGATGCTTTCATGGACTGTAGTCACCACTTACTTTACTTTTTACTTATACAATCAGGAAAAAACTAGGAGACTTAACACACCTGCAACTACTATCCACACTTCTATTTACCTTCTTCTTACAATACATGGTTGCCACATGCAACTTAAAGTCGGGTTACTAGATACAATATTCCAAATGTAATAAGGTTCCAAACAGGTATTTTTGATTCTGACATAATATCTAGACGATGAAAAATAGATGGATGCGGATACTTATATCGATGTTTTAGGACCCAGAAATGCAGAATGTGCTGTTTTTTTACATTTGGTGTGGATTTCTAGATCATAAATTGGCAAACATCGTTTTTGATGTAACAAAAGATGATGAACAAGGGAACCGCAGAGAAATTTATTATCTGCACGCGTCAAATGCGACACGCCTCTTCTTCAAGTCGCTCTAGTGCTCGGGCTTTCATTTGATTGAGTTAAACGGACCCCAGCGCAACAGTTTCACTTCTCTACGCTTCCTTTGCCTCTAATGGATGAGCACATCAACGCCGTTTCGAGATATCTTACTGTGATTTTTGATGGTGTGATGCAGATTCATGGATGTACCTACTACGCACTAGAGCCGAGTCGTTCCCGAACGAATATATCCGAAAGAACGATACCGCAGCCGGGCCAGATCGGATTTAGACAAAACTGAAAGGAACGATACTGCTTGGTACCATTTAACATTTTCAATATTATATTTTTAATTGTATTATATATACAGGGAGAATCAAATTAGTCTGACGGCTTGAGTTCAATGTGTACGAGAGACAAGCGCGACAAGTGTGAATCAACACATGTTAGAAAGAGATAGAAACCGGCTAAAGACCGAAGGTCACCACCAAACTGCCTAGCAACAGTGACGCAGAAGGTCGTGCAATCTGCTGCGTTGCCAATATGTTTCTCCAGAAAATGTTCGCATAGGCTGCTACAATAGGTTACTGTCACCCAAGAAGGAGGTCTGTTCGAACATTTAATTTAATATTTTGTTTTCATTTTGATTAGAATTATTTATTTCAATTTTAATGCGACTTACCCTCTTAATTTATTTTAGAATTACCTTTCATTTCCACCGATGGAGATAAAATCAACACATTTTGAATTATAACAAAAACCATTACGCAATACAAATTATTCAAAGCAGGACGACACTCCCATATGAGTGCTAGATGGGTACTGACCAAAATCGCTCAACTATGATCATGGAGGTGGAAACTTTACCTTGGAATGTACAAGATCCGGTGTTGAGAGGGGAACCAATGATTCAATGTTGCAGAATTTGTGGCGATACTGACCTTTCATTTCGACCTAAAATCGAGTGCCGTTAGGATCGATTTGGAATCGATCCTAACAAGCTTCGACACAATTGAACATTCAAAAATGTGTACGCTCAAAATAAGACCATTATTTGGGCGTAAACAATAAACTAACGCATACTGTCAATATGTATCTTAATTCAAGGAACTGGTGTAACATATTGACAATGCGGCTTCTATCTCTTTCTAACATAAATGTGTCTACAAACATTTCTCTCTTCTTCAGGAGAAGAATATGAACGGGAGCAGGTATGGCATTATTTGCTGTCTTTAACACAGAAAAAATTGGTGGTAATTGAACAGCGGAGGGGGAGGGGGTGTAATAGACCAAACAATTTAGCCCGCCATCTATATTTCTTGCAAAATAGAAATAAAAAGTTATAAACATAACCTCGGTTGGCCGCGTGGGTCAGAGTGTCGCGCTACTGATCAGCCGGCCGGCCGGGCCGCGAGTTCGAATCTCGCCTTCGCCATGGATGTTGTGTGTTTGTTTTAGGCAGCAGCGGTGGCCACAGTAGTAGACTCTTCGGTCTCCTGATCAGTCGCCGTGCGCTGTGAAGGTTCGAGTCCCGTCCCAGGAGAAATGTTTCTCTTGGCTATGGATGTTGTAATTGTCCGTAGGTGGTAGATGGTCTCTGACTGTCGAACGCGGAGGTACCACCCGGCGGTTCTCGTAGGCGGAGCCAGAATGTGTGCATGTTGCATGCACACGTGTTCCCTCGCCAGAGTCCGTGTGGCGTCCCCCCTTTTCCCATGTATCCCCCTATAGCCCCACGGTACCCAATGGGTGCTTAGGCCTTAGGCCTTCGTGGTAGTTGGAGTATAAAAAAAAATAAAGCATTTTCAGTTGGTTACGAGTATTCTTATTCTTTCTTTCATTTGTAATTTTTTTTATGGCTGAGTTGAAAAATAGCGAACACTGCCATTTCGATTCTTTAATTTTACATTTTAGGACCTCATCTTACACAAAATATGTATTTGTAAAACAATCGAATAAAGGCATGTTATATTATTATTGAATGACAATGCGCTGTAGTATAAGGAATTACTTAGCATGAAATGGGTGCATTTTGAGTTGATATGATTCATCACTTGAATGATGCTGTATTTTTGTAACTAGATGAACGCAATAAATAGTCCGATATGGTTATATTTGACAGACCAACTAACGATGAACCGGACCAACTAAAAAAGTTAATAAGCATTGGTAGGCATTTACCATCTATGGAATCGGAACAAATCGAAGCACAATATTCTAATTGACCCAGCGCTACTATGCACTTGTCTTTAACCATGTGAGAAAAATCCGTCTGGTATGAATAATTCGATGCGAGCAAAGTACACCTGTCAAAGCGTTGCAAGTTAATAAAACAGAGTTGACATAATATACATATTTAAAATGACTCACGTAGGTGTTGGTAGCTGGCTTCCAGGCGTGAAGGGCGAGTCATTCGCATCAAAGAAATCATCCTCCCCTTCTGAGCTGGAGTATGACATGTCAGGAACTGCCAAGGAGGCCGCCGCTACCGAAGGAGCATATTCTGCAAAAAACATACAATATCACTGTTTTGTAGAACGTACCTAGCCATGAAAAAAAAATTAATGAAACGCACAAGCATATGTTAAATAGCAGTATGAGTTCTAACCTTACTTGCAAAATTTTAGTCTAATCATATTAGACGGAAATACCCCTGGTTTGATAAATAATTGGGAAGTCTGGTTTTATTGCTGCAAGTTGTTCAAAGGGGTAATTAAAACATGGACGCATAAAATGGGTACACCAATTTTTGTGGGAAATCTTTTTATTTGACAACAAAGCGTGAGAAAACGTATTTTTTGAGACTAAATCGAAAGTGTTGGCAAGAATGGAAAAACTCTTCATTTGAGATTTTTAGGTAATTATGAGACGTACAAAATGAGACCACACGTAATAAGATCCGACTAATAGCAAAAACGTTATGACCGAAAACCCAGGCAAACTGCAGGTTTTGGCACGTGGCAACGATGATTTCTCGCAGAGACTTGAAATTCTTCAAATTCGTACTTCTAAATAACCACAACAAAATTGGAGTAGATTGGTCAAGTAGTTTTTGAGAACGTCTAATTGTTTATCCCAAAACACCTGTTTTCCGCCAATCACTACTAGTTTATTGAGCAATATACATTGGTTCGTTCGGAGGGCATATTATAGCAAAATACACGAGTTTATCTTGCCGATATGAATCGCAAACCATTCCGGAAGATAAATGTTATTTTTATGCAAAACAGAATGGGTTGTTTTTTCTTCTAAACAAATTCAAACATTTCGTATTTGTGAGTAATTCGCAACAAAAGATGATAGACACATCCGCTTTGTTTTCAAATGTGTATGGTAACGTATGTTTTTTAAATATCGTAGCGCATTTGATCAATTACTCACAAATACGAAATGTTTAAATTTGTTTAGAAGAAAAAACGTAACCTTTGTTTTTCGTATAGAAATAACATTTAACTTTCGGAATAGTTTGTGATTCATATCGGCAAGGTAATCACGTGTATTTTGCTATTAAATGCTCTTTGAACGAACTCTGTATATTGCTCAATAAAAAAGTGATGGCCGGAAAACAGGTGTTTTGGGATAAACAATTAGATATTCTTAAAAAAATACTTGACCAATATACTCCAATTTTGTTATTGTTATTTAGAAGTATGGATCCTACGTATTTTTAAAATTTCGAGTATTTGCGTGAAATAATCGTCGCATTACCAAGTGCCAAAACCTGCATTGTGCCTTGTTTTTCGGCCATAACGTTTTTGCTATTAGTCGGATCTTTTTACGTGTGGTCTCATTTTGTAACTCTCATAAATACCAAAAAATCTTACTTGAAGAATTTTTTCGTCCCTGTCAACACTTTCGATTGAATCCTAAAAACCCCGTTTTCTCATTCTTTGTTGTCCCACAAAAATTGGTTTACCCATTTTATGCGTCCATGTTTTAAATACCCTTCCAACTTCCACCAATAAAACAAGACTATAATCATTTCGGGGAAATTTGCTAATATGATTAGACTATACTAAGTGACATATAAATCCGAACACCCAGTTTAAATGGTTTTATTTTAATAAAATTTTGTATAAGTACTTAATGAAGCATAATAAGTAAATGATAAATCTTTGTGACACTTCAGCTAACGTTCCAATCGTGTCCTCAAAAAATCATCGATAACTCGATAAAAGTACATCTTCCTTCCATGAGAGATGGTGTACGAGTTTCCATCAAGAAATATACTAAGTGACATATAAATCCGAACACCTAGTTTATATGGTTTTATTTTAATAAAATTTTGTATAAGTACTTAATGAAGCATAATAAGTAAATAATAAAAATTTCAAAATGATTGCACTGCTTTAAAGCCCTTTGACCTTTAATAATGTGTGGATGCACCCTGATGTGCTACGCATTCTCCAACGCGTCTAGGCATGCTTCTGATCAGGTGGTCAATGTCCTCCTGTGGTATCTCATTCCAGGCAACCACCAACTCCTCTCGAAGTGCTTCTAGAGTCTGAGGAGGACGTTGCAAATTGAGCAATCTCCTACCCATCATATCCCACACGTGCTCAGTTGGGGATAAGTCAGGAGATCTTGGTGGCCATGGTAACAATGTGACATCATTATGTTGAAAGAAGTCTATTGTGACTCTTGCAACATGTGGTCGGGCATTATCTTATTGGAAAGTTGGATCTGCCAGGGTGTCAAGATATGGTAAAAGATGGGGTTCTAGAACTTCGTGGATATAACGCTGCGCGTTCATGTTACCTGTGATGAAGATTAAAGGTGACCTGGAACCATAAGCTATAGCACCCCAAACCATAACTCCAACAGTGTGATGAACATGTCTTTCAACAAAAAACAGTGGATTCCTCCTTTCACCACGTCGCCTTCTAACCCTGGCACGACCATCGTGCATGCCTAAACAAAATCGAGACTCGTCACTAAAGACAATACTGTTCCATTCCTGATCCCAGAGTGACCGTTGTCTGCACCACTCAAGACGATTACGTCGGTGTAAGTTTTTATCATTTACTTATTATGCTTCATTAAGTACTTATGCAAAATTTTATTAAAATAAAACCATTTAAACTGGGTGTTCGGATTTATATGTCACTTAGTATATTTGAGTGAATTTCGATAATTAGTTTCCAATGTATAAATAAAGTGAATTGTGAAGAGTATTACAGTGTTTTGACAAAAGAGGGCAATCAGCTGAAAACAGTTCTTAAGAGAATGGTTGTCGTCTATGAGGATGATGCACCATCATATTACGCAATAAAATGCTGGTCGAAACAGTGAAATTATTCTATTCTATCTACTGAAGACGATCCCGGAAGTGGAAGTCTCAAAACAGCAACACATGATGAAATGCTTCAAAAAAAAGATGAAGCCATGGTTCTCGAACATCATCGTGTGAAGGGCTCTACCGTTAGTATGGTAACTTTGGAAAAACGCATTTTCTACCTTTCACATCTACCCGATTATTCAATATTCAAAATAAACAATATACATTTAAAACTTCTCAGAGTGGACAACATCAAATATTTCGAATTTTTTTTAGACCAGCATTTGAGGTGCGATATTCATGCAGCCTACATTTTGAAGAAAGTAAAATTTGTTACATACAAAATTAAACCTCACAGGCATATTCACAGAAAACTATATGCGTACTACGTCATGCCCTAACTGAGGCGCACCTAATTCATCACATATTCGCATGGGAAACAGCATGTCCAGCATATGGTAACGATATACAAGTTTTACCGAGACCTGTTTTGAAAACTATGTTCGAAAAATCAAAATTATATTCAACAAATGATTTAAACAACGAAACAACATTGATATCAAGCAACCTTATGTCAAACATACTATCAGCCTTTATCACAAAGTTGTTAGTGAGCGTGATAAAATCACACATTGCTATGATATTCAATATAAATTACGTGCAAAAAACTGTCCCTGTACCTTATAAGACCATAATGAAGCGATATTTTCTCTATTCGGCTCCAACATTATATGAACACGTACCCAAAGACTTGAAACAATTTCGAACTAACTATGATTTTAAAAACAAATTGTCAAAATTGATACGCTTACTAGGAAGATAATATATTACTGAACTCCCGTCAAATTTTCAGTAAAATTCATCACCTCCTACATAATATACGCCTTTTCGATATAAATTCCTCATAAGTTTCTTTTAACTTTTTTGTTTTTCGAAAGTCATCGTTTCAGCATATAACTGATCCATGTACAGGCATTATCCTTCTGCGGATTTAAATGTTTATTTACCCATTCTATGTTGCTATTACTGCTGTTATCTACTATTGCTACCTCAAAATAAACTACTGCTGCAGTGCTCTACGAGAGGGGTACGTATGTATGTTGTCAGGCCAGGTGGAAAAAAGAGAGTCTGGTAATGCGACATACCTATCGACCTGCTGTGCCTCCTGGAATTCTCTACACATTCCGATCCTAACTCAATCCCCTGCTGGACCGCAGCATCCCCCGGCACCGAACTGACTTCTGCAACATCAAGATACGGACATGCTGTATACACATACGTTTTCTTTGTCGTGTATGGTTTGAATGTTAGTAAACATGCAGAGTCAAGAAAGATAATGGGACTCGATTGTTTCTTTTTCAATTTCTCAGTTTCGGAGAATCAATTAAAGCTTTTGCATCTAGTTTTATACTAAATGGTCACCTTCCGAGGATTTACACAATGATGCCTCAGAAGGAGGCTTGATGGATTTTTACATAGCAGGTGTTAGATTTGTTGAGTGTGGATGCGAATATCTGCTGCCGGTATTTGCCAATGTGAACGCGAATATCCAGTTTTCCTACCTATACCTGACCTAGATATAGCACAAAACACTGTTTTAAAAGAAATTTTCCAAAAGCCAAGATTATATCCGTCGAACAACTTATATCGGGAAACAGGGATACTTTATTTCTTACATGTCTTCATCTAAGCATTGTAATGAACAAAATTCCTATAAACCTCTAATATCCAAAGATGCATCGAGATGGCGAGGCGTAAATCACAAGTTTATTTCCTTGGGCATCAAATTCGAACGCGCGGTTGCCGTCGATGCGGGAATCAGGATAATTCCCAAGTCCGAGGATGATTACCGCAGGATTATTCGTCTCTTCAGGGAGGAAGAGGTGCCCCATCACACTTTCCCTCTACCCTCCGAGAGGAACATTCATGCTGTAATCAGAGGAGTACATGCGACACTTTCGGAAATTGAGATCAAGGAAGAGTTGCAACAGAGGGGATATTCCCCCCTGCACATAATTCGCCTGAAACGCGGTGGCGGCGTGCCCATGCCTTTGGTGGTAGTCATACTGCCCAAGATAGAAAAATCTCAGCAGCTGTTCAACGAACACGAGCTGCTAGGTTTGGCTATCCGAGTCGAAGTTCAAAAGAACTCAAGACTCATCGGGCAGTGTCACCGCTGCCAAAAATATGGGCATGCGCAATCTTACTGCACTGCACCACCTAAA